ACTGACCTCAGGCTGTCAACTCACTCCACCTTTTCAGCGCAGAGGTCGAAGCGAGGGTTTCTCGGCCAGTTTTTGGAGGGGTGGTACAGGGGCTTACAGGAATAAGGCTTGCTCTTTTTGGAGGCATTTCTTCTCATTGCGGGTGACTGGTAAAAAGGCCTCTGCCCCACTGGGCGGGCGCTACAAAGGCAGCCCAAGAGCCCAAGAGCATGAACTTTGAGGCCGAAAGATCTAAGGGTTACATGGTCCCTTCATATGGGCCCTTTAACAAGGGACCCCATATATACCCCCTTCTTGTACCCTTTGCAACCCAAGGGCCCATTCTTCAGAGCCCTTTCAAGGAGGTAAGGGAGGCTCATGTAACTTCCCTTGGAAAAGAACCGGCCATTCTTCACTAGTGATTCGTGCTTCTTGCTTCTTCTTTGCTGCAGCTCCATGCTAGGCGCCCTTGCTGAAAATAGGAATGCTGCCCCACAGAGGTAAGGATGACAAAAACAATGGCAAACTGAGTCATTCACCCTTCCAAACCGTGGGTCTGCTCACCCATTGCTGATTCTGTCTGTGCTCATTCGCTCTTTGCTTGAGTTTGCAAAAATTTGCAAGACGATGCATCTAATCCAACGAACAAGCGAACAAACAATCAGAGTAGCTGAGCCCGAGCCCGGTCACTACACACTCAACTGCGAAATGCTGAAGGCAAACAGAGCTTTCCACAACGCCTGCTTTAAACAACATAGTGTCTTGGTATTGACCACAAAAAATCCTGTTCATAGGCATCCCCATCACAAGGAAGGGCTAAAAGAGCGCCCTCTTTTCGGAGACCCCCAAAACAAGCCCATAAAACATTATTTTGGGCTGAGGCACGGATCTTGTCAAGCTCTTCCTCCCAGGCCTCCAGCAAGCGCGGGCAATCCCGGCCTCGAATCGCCATGTACTTGGCCCAGGTCGTCACATCCCCTTGACACTGCTCGTTGCTGAACCACCTCAGAAGTATCTCAGGCCAAAAATGCGGGGAAAGTCAGCAGTCTACGAACCTCAGCCGCGCGCACGAAAAGGAGATCCACCCCCAAAGACTTTGCCATAACAGCGCCCCACGCCACGAGAACCTCCTACCTTCACGCGACTTGTATTGTCGCGTCCCCAAGCACCCATACTGCAGCTCGCGCCAGCCGACTTCCGTGGCCCAGCCTGACTCTAGCGGGGACTTACTACGGCGCCCCGTCGAGGGGATATTCGTACATCCGACAGAAAACTGACTGCAAGCCATACGAGCCAAAACCGGAAGCTCCTAAGGCGAGGTGCTCAGCTGGTTCCCGTTGCTGTTCACGTCCGACAAAGTCGTGACAGCATCCGGATGCTCCGACGCGAGCTTGCACAACACTACCACTTTGTTCAGCCAGATCTTCACCTGGGCTAGACAAGGCTAGGCAATCTCGCCAACACAAACCCAGATTTCCGAAGCCTTCGGAAGCCTTCCTAGACACAACAAGCACAACAAACACAACAAGCATAACAAGCACAACAAGACAGAGCCCCTGAGACATATTCTCAGTGATCATTTTTGGAACCCTCTGCTCCATTCTGCTCCCCGGAAGCAGCCAAGCGGCAAGGTCGTGCTGGAGCTCCGGCCCCAGAAACTTCAGAGTGCAAGTCTTGGACCCTTCCTCCGGAAGCTCCGCCACGACGTCATTGTAGTCCAGGTCCCTCAATGTGAAGGAGGCGCCGTGCGTCATGTCCTTGCAGCTCGGCGCCAGCTCCTCGATGGCTCGAAGGTCGCCCACGACCCTGACCACTTTCTTCTCCTCATCCATATCCTGGTTCCTACTCCATGAGCACAGCCGCTCCAAGACGCTTGCATACAGAGCAGTGCTGTGCTTATGGTTATCGGGCAGCGGAACATAGAGGGCGTAGTGATAGTGGCGGTAGTGGTGGTCGTGGGACCCCTCACCATTGCGGGCGGGGACCTGGAGGAGCGAGGCGGCCTGAGATCAGGTGGGGCTTTCGGGGCCTTAAATTTAGACGCAGGGTTCAGGGTTTAGGGTTTAGGGTCTAGGGTCTAGGGTTTAGGTTTCAAAAAGAGGCTTTGAAAGGGGGTGGAAAGGCGGCTTTGGGATGAAGGTGAGAGCGGCCCTGAAGACTCCCCTCAAACCCTACACCACACACCCATCTTGCAACAAAAACAGCTGCCACCTTCAGACAAAGAGGGAGTCTAAACATAGTAAGAGTCAATGGGAGGGAGATATGTGCAAAAAAACAAAAAAAAGAGGCCTGCTCTCATCCCTCATCTTTGGCTTATAGTGGTCTGACCCAACCCTAAACCCGAAACCCTAAACCCTAAACCCCAAACCCGGTGCCTCCCACTGATGGGTCGGATCTTCGGCCGCTGTACCGCAGGTGGACTCGCCATCACTGGGACAGCCGTGTTCCTGACCTTGTCTGGGTTTAGGGTTTAGGGTTTAGGGTTTGGGGTTTAGGGTTTAGGGTTTAGGCTTTAGGCTTTAGGCTTTAGGCTTTAGAGTTTGGGGTTTAGGGTTTAGGGTTTAGGGTTCAGGCACACGAAGACACAAAGACTGCGAGACGAAGCATATGGCGAAACATGCAGAGCCCATGTTTTCGGCTACGGCCGCCGAGAAGCTCAGGCGCGAGTCTGATAAAGAGCTAGAGTCCTGGCCACGAAGATGCATGTCACCGCTGGCCTATAATGGCCCATGGCAAAACCCAGAACCCCTCCAGTGAACTTACCCTAAACCCTGAACCCTAAACCCTGAACCCTGAACCCTAAACCCTAAACCCTGCACCCTTCATTGGTTTCGCCCAGCCGGCGAAGTCCTGGTGTTCCAAGGCATGCGAAGCCAGGCATGCCAGGCCCAGGAGAGCAGCAAGCATACGCCACCAGCGCACCGAACTACTTCTGAGTGGGCGGCTAAACACAAAAACAGGTTCGGTTGAGAAGACAAAAGACGCTGCGGCCTCCGGAGCCTCGCTCTTTGTCCTTTTAGGAGGTTCAGTCGGTGGACATGACAGTGCGCGAGGGCTGTGTCACCCGAACAGGTCCAAGTTGAGCAAACTGAGGGGCTTACCCCCCCCGTCGAAGAATTTACCCACATGTTGCGTCATCCTGCTGAGGAGATTTTGCTCTACAAATCTTAAGAGGCTGCAGCAAAATGACGGTTCGTGGCCAACTGCCCCTAAACACTTCTGAGCTGGGACCCCCGGCTGCTGGACCCTTGGAAAAACCACAACACGTGACAAACGCCGAATTTTTCAAAGCAGAGCTTGTGGCCTTCCATACAGCCCTTGGCGCCCCAAGTGACTGCGCCAAGTGGGCGACGAGGCCTCCCACCTGCTCGGGCTTAGCAGTTCAAGGGTTCCGGATCTCAGGCGTGCCTTCAGGGGTTACGGGGAGCATTTGGGGGGCACTTGGGGTGGAGTTGGAAGGTGGGTGCAGGGTTGGTGAGATCAGAGACTGGGCACGCACTCTGTCAGATCCGAAAACCACCCTGCATCTCGCTTTTCTCAACACTCCGGGCACATAGAGGTCATGGCCGGGTCTGGCATGTCGCCGCAACTGCTCGTGAGTGCGGCAGGCCAGGGGACTCTTCAAGCTGTCACAGGCAGCTTAAAGATACCAAAATTCTCATTCTCTTTCCTTTTGATTGGGCCAACCTCAAGGCATTCTGGCACGTTGTTGAAGGGAGCTGCGGTGATGTCGATGGCCCTGAATTGCCCTGCCCGGATATCTTTGCCGTTCGATCCCGCAGTGTCGACATCGTTCACGAGCCAGGTTCCCGCCAGGTTGAAGTTGCCGAGAATGGCGTGCACGTGCTCCATGGCGTTGTGCTGAAGGGCATCCCGGCAGTTGATCACATCAAAGTGCTTTGCTGGGAAGGTCCGTCCTAGGATGCCGGCCTCCGCGAGGTTGAGCGTTTTGAAGGGCTCGATGGTGACCTTCGGCACGGATGCTTGAGCGGAAGCTCTCTTGCCCTCGGCGATGCCGGTGGCCACGTCGGAAACGTCAACTCCCTGGTAGTTGAGCCTGGCACCGGCTGGAAGCTTGGAAGCCATTCGCGAGAGACACCCGGGCATCCAGAAGAAGTCACCGCTTGGAGCATCCAGGAGATTGAGCTCGTACTCGGTCATTCCTGCTGCCTCCTTCTCCTTTGAAGCTTTCAGCAAGGCCTCAAAGATCACGGAGCAGAGGGCTTCTGTTGCTTGGTTGATGTTGCTTCCGGCTCCCGACTTGGACCAATGAACCCCGTCGCCACCCCAACTGTGCCTTGTGTAGATCCTGTCAAAGGCATCCTGGACGGGGTCTTGCAGCAGGGAGATCGGGCCTGTACCTGCGCACGGGGGCACGTTCTGCACGTTCAAGGCCTTCGCAGCGTTCTGCGCGGGCTTCACGACAATGGCCCCGGCTTGCGACAAGAGAGCTCCAAAGCACAAGAGCCACATGGCTTGTCAGAAAAGAGCAGTAGTAGAAAGTGCTAAAGCGTTCTCGGAAAAGGCTAAGATCAAAGATCTGAGCCGATTTGGCGCACGGCGTCGGTTCTCACTTCTTCGGGCTTTCAGGGGCCCTTTGGGGGCCCCATTGCTGGCCTTTGGGGGCTTGGGGTCCTCATGGAAAAAGCCAGGAGCCCCAGGCACAAAATCCGCAAGAGTCTCAAGCGCCTAAAGGCCCCGGCCTCCCGCATTCGCGTCACCATCACCATGCATGATGCAGATGGGCGAAGAGGTCTCCCACCTGCTCGGGCTTAGCGGTTGAGGGCTTAGATGTGCTAAGCGTAAGGCTCTGTCTTTTTGAAGAGTTGGTTTAACTTGCAGGTTGGGGATGTGGCGTTCGAGGGGGGCTGAGGGTTGAGGGCTTGAAGTGCAGGGTGGGTGAGATCAGAGACTGGGCACTCTGTCATGATCTTGCTTTTCCAATCCGGGCACATAGAGGTCATGGCCGGGTCTGGCATGTCGCCGCAACTGCTCGTGAGTGCGGCAGGCCAGGGGACTCTTCAAGCTGTCACAGGCAGCTTAAAGATACCAAAATTCTCATTCTCTTTCCTTTTGATTGGGCCAACCTCAAGGCATTCTGGCACGTTGTTGAAGGGAGCTGCGGTGATGTCGATGGCCCTGAATTGCCCTGCCCGGATATCTTTGCCGTTCGATCCCGCAGTGTCGACATCGTTCACGAGCCAGGTTCCCGCCAGGTTGAAGTTGCCGAGAATGGCGTGCACGTGCTCCATGGCGTTGTGCTGAAGGGCATCCCGGCAGTTGATCACATCAAAGTGCTTTGCTGGGAAGGTCCGTCCTAGGATGCCGGCCTCCGCGAGGTTGAGCGTTTTGAAGGGCTCGATGGTGACCTTCGGCACGGATGCTTGGGCGGAAGCTCTCTTGCCCTCGGCGATGCCGGTGGCCACGTCGGAAACGTCAACTCCCTGGTAGTTGAGCCTGGCACCGGCTGGAAGCTTGGAAGCCATTCGCGAGAGACACCCGGGCATCCAGAAGAAGTCACCGCTTGGAGCATCCAGGAGATTGAGCTCGTACTCGGTCATTCCTGCTGCCTCCTTCTCCTTTGAAGCTTTCAGCAAGGCCTCAAAGATCACGGAGCAGAGGGCTTCCGTTGCTTGGTTGATGTTGCTTCCGGCTCCCGACTTGGACCAATGAACTCCGTCGCCACCCCAACTGTGCCTTGTGTAGATCCTGTCAAAGGCATCCTGGACGGGGTCTTGCAGCAGGGAGATCGGGCCTGTACCTGCGCACGGGGGCACGTTCTGCACGTTCAAGGCCTTCGCAGCGTTCTGCGCGGGCTTCACGACAATGGCCCCGGCTTGCGACAAGAGAGCTCCAAAGCACAAGAGCCACATGGCTTGTCAGAAAAGAGCAGTAGTAGAAAGTGCTAAAGCGTTCTCGGAAAAGGCTAAGATCAAAGATCTGAGCCGATTTGGCGCACGACGTCGGTTCTCACTTCTTCGGGCTTTCAGGGGCCCTTTGGGGGCCCGTTGCACCCGGAGCTGCAAGGAACGGCAGCTGAGCTGTAGCGGAATTTGGTCAATGTCAGGGGGCTTCCGGGCCTCGGCCTCCTCACTTGGCTCTGTTTGAAGTTGCACCTTTCAAGGCAAATGGATAGGGAGAACCACCAACTCAGAGTGACATCAAGTTGTGCCAGCGGCAAAGGCCCAAGGATCTCGCCCCCCGCCTTCCTTCAGGCCCCGGCCCCCCCAAGAAGAACCCCCCCCAAAAACCACAGAATTCTCTAAAGAAGCACTGGAGACTAATTCAACACCTGACGCCGAGCTTTAGTTACTGGACATGAGCTGAAGTTGTACCGGAAGCGTAGGAAGAACGCAGCGTAGACGGTCACCGCAACCGCATCTTCTTGCCTAAGCCTAACTTAGACCCCACCGAGGTTGAGCTGAGGCGAAAAAATGTCGCAAGAGGGAGTGGAATCCTCGGAGATTCACGGGAGCAGCTTCCGAGAGGTCGCAAAGTCACGACATGTCAAAGGCAAGGAGCACTGAAAGAACGGCGGGAAAGGGCAACTGCAATGAGTCTACTCGTATAGAATAGACGCTAGACTACCACATTACTTCGTTGCGCCACTTCGTGGACCCGCGGGTGCTATTGTTTGGCGCAGCGCCTTTTGCGCGGCCGGGTTGAGGCCTGCAAACCGCTCGTTTCAAAGGCCCTCTTCGCCGCGCGTTTTGGCCCGTTTTGGCCCAGCTTCCCGGATTCTTCTCTGCACGAAGAGCTCGGAACACAAGAAGAGCCCCATCGCCAAAAAATGGGGGGGTGGGGGTGCAGAGGCCACTGAGAAGTTTGTGTGAGCAAGTGTGTGGGCAAGCCATGATCTTATACCCCGACACTCACAGGTGACTTGAATACCCGCCCGAGTCGGAGGGAGGCATCAGCCCACACAACCGTAGCATGAACCTGAAGCCAAGTTGCGCAAGCTGCTTCTTTCCCTGACGCTGCCCAAGCCGCTCCCTGGCGGTCAAGACCTGGACACGACAAACAAGCGAGTGTGGGCATTGCAGGCGGCCGGCGGACATTGCATGAGATTGCTTCACAGCCGCAGGCACGTAGCAGCTGTTTTCACAGCCAAGGCTGGTCACATCAATACAAGGGACGAAGATAGGATGCTCTTGTGGACAGGAGGTACATGCACAATGCGGCTTGCTGCTTGCAACAGGTGTGCAAGAGGTGTAGTTCTAGTAGTTCTAAGCTTTGTCAGAACGGCGACTGCGAATGTGCTCTGAGGTAGAGCAGCTCTACAGAACAGTTTTCGAGGCTTTGGAGCAGGCAGTCTCCGGCTTCACCCGGTACTTCTCGCTGGGGAATGGGTGGCGGCGAAGATACGCCTTCGCGGCCTCGTGATCGAAGAGCAGCGGGTTGATCCAGTAGGAATCGCAAGCCACCTCCTTCCAGCAAGAGACTCCCAGCATTTCGAGCTTGGCCGTCTCCTTCAGCAGCCGCCTGACATCTTTGTTCTTCTGCTGGTCACGATCAAGCTGCAACTCCTCGACGACCAGCGCTCCCACTTTCACCCTGTGCCAATTCACAGACTCCAGCACCGACAGCTCCTGGGTAGCCCAATAGGGAACCCTCCTTTCCAAAAAGGCCGCGCCCCTTCTTTTTTTTTGGGGTTGGGCTACTTCATCAGGGAGCCCCAGAACCAAAAAAAAGAAAAGGAAAAGGGCGAAAGGGGTACCTGGTAGCCCCACCAAGGCTCAAAGCCCTCGACGTCGAGGCTGAACACGGTGACCTGCCCGACGCCCAGGACATCGAAGAAGGCCTGGAGGGGCGAGCAGGGGAGGGTGTCCTCCTCGGAGAGGTGACGGGGGTGGTTGTTCAAGATCCTTCCGGCGGCCCGGGCACTGCCGAAGACCACCCTGCTGGTGTTGGTGCAGATGGCGCTGGAGATCTTCAGGGCGTTGGGCCGGTTGCGGTGCAGGTTCTTGAAGTTCTCAGGGTTCGCCTCAATCAGCATCCCCTTCCAACCCAGGCACTTCTCCAGAAAGTAGGTGTTGGTCTCATGCCATCCATCCATCCCCCCAAGCTCCAGGAAGACCGGCTTTTCTTTGGCAGGCGGGAGCATGAAAGGTAAGATGTGCTCCACCAAGATGTGCTCCTCTTTCTCTGAATTGCTGCACGTCGCAACCGCGTCGCAGCTTTCACAGCAACCTTGTAAAGGATCCAGGCCCAGGCGCCCCTCGGAACCCTCGGAATGCAAGAAGCTGTTCCATCCGGTCTTCCAGTCGAAGAGGGGCGCGTCCGATGGGCTCACGCACAGGTCCGCGAAGCAAATCTGGGTCCCGCTCTCAAAAGTGTGTGCTGGGCGGTGTGCTTTCTTATGCTTGTTCGGGTGTTGCATAAGCTCGTTTGTGTCTGAACTGCCTTCACACTGCTCGGCCGCCACTGCGGCGATGGTCGAAAGCAGCAGAACTGAATGAAGCATGGTGCCAGAACGCCACCAGGGACGAAATGGGCACAACTGGGAGCACGCGTGTGGAAACCTGCAGCTTCGAGACAAAAATGGCAACATTGAACACGTGAGCCACGCTTTGGAGAACCTCGCTGATGCCCGTGTCTTGTCAAATCACATGGAATCTCTTCCCGTTGGCTTTCAGCGCTCTCGGACAAAGCACACCATAAAGAAAGCACACGACAAGTCTCGACAAGCCGAAATGTGCACAGTGTGGGCCAGTCCCAAACCGAACCTGCATGTGGCTTGGCCAGGTGAGCCATGACGGAAGTGCCTGACGAAAGGGAAGATTCACTGATTCTTGAGCTGTTGAGTTTATCTTGTGAAATCACTCAAACCTCATATCCACAATAAATATCACATGGTTTTCTGCGGCTTCGAAGTACACGCAAGCCCCCCCCAATGCGACGTCGGCGTAGCTTGCCAGCGTCCCACTCAGCGTGGGCGAACATTCGGCGTTAAGGGCAAACGATGCAAAAACAAAAATCAATGCACGAGGCATTTGGCGCACAGAGCCTGGAGTGCTTTGAAGCCGTTGGCTTGGTACTGCGCCATCAGATTCATCCTCTTTTGGGACCCCCTTTCCTTTCCTTTCCGGCAAGAAGCCGCCGCATCAGCGTGGCCTGTGTGAAGGGCGCATCTTGGGCTCCATGTCTTTTGCTGGGATCGACGGACACTTGTGGTGCACAACTCTTCTCACTCCCGCTGCCACTCCCCACCAAGCAATAGGGCATGTGAACTATTTTTATTAGTATGAGTGATTTTTTTCTCTTCGGCCCAACGGAAACCCGTTTTTTTACCAGCAGGTTAAGTGAGCTAGAATGAATCATGGGATCATTGATGCCACAAGCTGTCGCAACCGCCTTCCAATCAACGCAAACCACACCGCGACTCGATTGCACTCCACGCCTGCCCACTTCGCGACATGCACTGAGGTTGCAGTCTGTTCACACTGGCATCAGAAGGGCCCTTGAAGGCCCTCAAAAGGTAACCATGAAACCTCTTCAAGTCCTCTGGTGGGAATTGGCTCCTGTAGCCACCTTGAGCGAATTCTGCATTGCCTACAGCAGGTGCTCAGATACCCAGCATTTTTGAGTACAGTTGCTCTGCCTTGTCGGCAAGGGAACCTGACTCAATTGGAAGCTTCCAACGCCCGTGCCAGTGGAAGGCAAAGGCATTGTGGCTCTCGTTCGGATCGATGTACCAGACTTGCTCTGGATGTGCTTCCTTTGCTGTTCGCGGAGCCCTCACAAAACAACGCCGTCTCATCTTGCAACCGCACATGTTTTTCTCAGAGTGTTTTTTTGCCAGGAAAGACGACCAGAAAATGTTTAATGATGACATGCGCCCCCAGCTTCTTCTGTAAAGAACTGATTCCAGCCTGTGGCATTGGGCAGATGTTGCCAAGCACCATCGAAGAAGCATTGGGGCAACACGTGGAAACGCGCTTCCGTCAGCCCCATCCTGAGACACGGAGAAACCTTGTGACTTTATCTTTACTCAACTGCTGTTCCGGGTTTAGGGTTCAGGGTTATCGTCTTAAGAAGAAAGAAGCCGTTGCCTCCGGAGTACACTTAGTACATCAGCACAGACACGAAGCCTAAACCTCAAACCCCAAACCCTGAACCTCAAACTCTAAACAACTTATCCCCAGGCTTCTGCATCTGCAGCGCCAGGGCCTTCAAGATCCTCGGGCCGTACCAGGCATGTCCCCTGCTCAACTGGATTCCGACCACGTAGGACAGGTAGGCCTGCATGAAGGGCGACTGCGGCTTCGACGTTGACATGACGGCGTTGTTGATGTAGGTCCTCTGCCCCAAATACGCCCAGTCCTCTTCCAGTATCGGGGTCATGTCTCGGATGAGCAGCACATCACTGTCAATCCAGGCGCCCCCATAGTTGTAAAGAAGAATCACCCGCATGAGGTCAGAAAGCGAGGTCAAGTCTGTCTGGTTCGTGTAAACATCGTACAAGGTCTTTTCCAGTGGCTTGGTATACAATGTAGCTGCCACTTTTGCTGCCTCTTTCTCTGCATCGAAGTAGCTGACCTCAATACTGTCTGCGTAGGCCGGATTCTTCAGCAAGGGCTCGAACACCTGGGGGTTTACGATATTGGGGGTACCTTGTTAGGGGTCCAGAATAATGAGGAGATCCTACTACTTTTTGGATCTTAATATTGGGGTTCCCCTTTCGGAAAAACCCCCCACACACCTGCTTTAAAGCTTCGTTCTCCGGCGCCACGTTGGACCAGACGTGGAGCTTGACCCTGCTGAGATCCTGCGATGCCAGGAAAGACATCGGCGCAAGGCGCAGCTTTCGAAGGGGATCCGCCCATCCTTCGCCAAAGCGGCCCTGGGGCAAGAAGACCCCAGTGTGGATCTCGAGCTTGCTAAGCTTGCTGAGCTTGCTGAGCTTGCCTTTGGTGTGCGTCAGCGTGTTCACCATCTCCAAACAGCCTTACTGTTGGTCGGTTCGACAAGAATGAGGGAACTAAGCACCCAAGATCCCCCTATGCGTACCCTTTACATAAAGGAACCAAGTACCCTCTATCCCCCTATACATACCCTTTAAGGGCTTACATGAAGGGTACTCCACATGCCCCCCCACTCTAAAGCATCTCCAAGCAGCGGTCTCTCCGGAGCGTGAAGTTCCAGAAGGGCCGCATCTTCTTGTCGATCTCCTGGAGGAGCCCCACGAACCTTCACACTGAGCTTGGGGAGCCCTCAGGCAAAAAGTACGAGTTGTAGCTGTTTTCTGAGAAAAATCACAGTACCCAAACATCATATTCCCAAGCATCCCTAACAAAATCACAGTACCCTAAACCCTAAGCCCTAAACCCAAAAAGATAAAAAAATGATTCCCAAGAATCCCTAAGGAACTCTGGGGAGGAGCCCTCAAGCAGCCCGCCGGCCATCTCAAAGAGAGATACATCGGGCTCCTCCTTCGATTCTTGCCTTGGGGGAGCGGGGTTGAGGGTTTAGGGCTTAGGGCTCGGGGCGTAGGGCTTAGGGCTTAGGGTTTAGGGTTTAGGGTTTTTAGGGTTTAGGGTTTTTAGGGTTTAGAGCACATCCCTTTTCCCCAAAAATTTCGGTCACCTCTCTATCTTTCTCTGAGTGACGAAGCTGTGGCGCACCCTCACCCACTGCACCCTGAGGCCAACCTCCCCATACCTCGACTAGCCTGCGATACCCAAAAAGGGAACTGTTCAACCCTGCAAACCCCATAAACCCAGTAAACCCCATTCCACTTGTCAAGCCCCTGAAAACCCCTAGTAACACGGCGGGGTGGGTTCGCCCTTTCTCTTGTCTGCTTGGGAAGCTTTTCGTTGGGGCTTTGTTGTTCTTTGGGAGAATTGACATTTGGAAAGATTCCCTTGGTGTACGTCTTTCACTTTTGCTCATGCTTCGGGGCATGTTTTGCCTTGATTTTATCATAGTAACATCGTGGTGAGTGTAACAAATGGAGTTCTAATGATCGTACGAACGGCCATGCAACATGACAGTGGCCATGCGAATCGAAACCTAGTAACTAGTCATCACTATTATCAGACATCATGGAAACAATACAAATGATCCTTCTAATCACAGGAAGGAGAAGGGAATACTGATACAAGTAGTAGTGGTAGATCATATTTTTGAAATCATGATGATCATCATGACATGACAATTAAAAGGCTTAGGAATTTTCAGTAAAGTAGTTTGGCAATAGTAACCGGAAAAATGTAATCAAAATAATACTAGCATGAACAAAATACTAGTACGAATGATCCTGCTCATGAGCAATACAAACACCAGCGGCTTAAGCAAGTGGAAGAAAAAGGATTGGGCGGGGCTGGGGGGCCCAGCACGCACTTGCCTATTCGTTTGATACTGCTTTCCTGTTCCCTGGACATTTGGCGGCTTTCACCTTATTTATGTTGGGCGTTATTTCATTTGCTCGGTCTGTTGTTCCTAGTTTCTTTCTTTCTTTGAATCCGTCTGTTTTTTTTCCTTGCGCTGGAACACAGACTGAAAACGATAACCTGAAAGTGGTCCCCTCGACCTCTGCTATGTCACGAAAGCCAGGGTTCTCATGCCCCCGAAACCCTGAACCCTGAACGCTGAACCCTCAACCCTAAACCCTAAACCCTAAACCGTGAACCCTGGACCCTGAAAACCCTGAACCCCGAGCACCTCGAGTCAGAATCTTCAAGACGTCTCGGCTTCTGCTGCACCAGGGACTCACAGTCCCCAACCTGCGCCGCGTGCACGGCCTCGACGATGAAGGCGATCACCTTACCGTTGGTTAGGGTCTAGGGTCTAGGGTCTAGGGTCTAGGGTCTAGGGTCTAGGGTCTAGGGTCTAGGGTCTAGGGTCTAGGGTCGAGGGTCGAGGGTCGAGGGTCGAGGGTCGAGGGTCGAGGGTCGAGGGTCGAGGGTCGAGGGTCGAGGGTCGAGGGTCGAGGGTCGAGGGTTGAGGGTTGAGGGTTGAGGGTTCCGGGTTCACTGCTAAACAAGAGTAAAGTCACTGCGGAAGCTCGCCACATGGCCCCCGGGAAGAATCTAAGGCTCAAGGCGCATGCGAACTTGCCGACTTTCGGCTCTTTGGCACGGCCGGCAATCTCTGCAAGCCATCACACGGTATGTGTATATATATATACATATACATATACATATACATATACATATACATATACATATACATATACATATAGATATAGATATACATATATACACATATACATATATACATATATACATATATACATATATACACATATATATATATATATGTGCACATATGTTTCCTAACATGACTTTCGGCACGACGAGAATTGCAGCGAACACTTTGATAGGCAGAAACTCCAGCCTGCGCGCGATGGAAGCTCGTTTCTCGACGGCAACCTGCCGGCCCATCGCTCAGCAGCTAGCAGCGTGACACACACTAGCCTACCTCTGCACAAAAAGCATGAACCTTGGGATGTTCCCTCTTGTACACAGTCCTGAATTGGGATGATCATAGGGGTACCATACTCCCTTTAAGGACTCGTAGTATAAGGGGAGCATCCCTACATGAACCGTCATGAACTTAACACGGTGAGCTTGCACGCTCTCGGCACCCCCTGGAACATGCAGTGGACTGCCGGGGGGGGGGGTCTTGGGGTCTTGAGACCAGAGCACGGGGGGTCTTTGGGTCTTGAGACCACGAGAACTGCCCAAAAGGTGAGGGAGAGCTCTGAAAGATCTGAGTCTGAGTCGATCTGAATCACCTTTTGAAGCCCCTTTTGCATCTTTTCGGGGGGCGTGGGCCGGAGACTCATACAGGGACAGCATGTGCACGGACTTTGTGCGTTGGGGTCGTTCGCTTGGAATTGTTGGGTCGCAAGAGACTGTGATCACCATGCGGTCGGACGGGGAGCCAGCGCTTGTGTCCGCGTTGCAGCAGTTTGCCAGGGAGCAGCCATGGCAGAAGCCATGGGCTTGCAGCAGATTGCAGCAGGCTTGTACGAACTTTTTTTGTTAGCAAGTCCGGCATGATCCCGGCATGATCCCGGCATGATCCCGGCTACATTCGGCCTGGCAGTGTGCTTCACTGTCTTCACTACATTTCACGCTGCATCACTACGTTCCACTACGCTCCACTATACATTCCGCTGTACGTTCCGTTATGTTCTGCTATGCACTATGCCTTCCGCTACGCTTCACTACGTTTCGCTACATTTCACAACGTTTCACTGCTTCATTACTGCCTGTCGTCAACAACTTGTCCTGGACTATGCCATCTCGTACCGCCGAAAGCCAAGCCGTGAACGCACTGTAATCGCACAGATGTCACAGTATTTCCTCACAAGGCCGGGTTTGGGCTGTTCGAGATTTGGAACGGGCTGTTGAACTACTGGGCTCTCTTGCTGAGTCTTTTCAACCTTTTCAATGCCGACCCAAGCTGCTCTTTAGCGCCTGGGGGATGCAGCTTCTCCATGTCGGCCACTGTTTGGCCGCTTCACGAATTGTCAAGATGCCGCCAGGATTGCCTCATCGGAGCCTGCAACTGAAAAGCTCAAGCCTCGCTAAACCCATCCTAAAACCCAGCATGGTGCGAATTTTATGCTATGCTCAAGCTATGTTCTGGTGCTGTTGCAAGCCGTGGGCCCGAGTATGCCCGAGCCTTGCCATTGCCGTGTCAGTTGTGGCATCGGTGAAGGGCTCCATGCTGGGAGCATTACGGGTTTGCATCCTTTTCACCCTGCAGGGCAGCCCTTGACCTATGGTGAAGATCTCAGATCCTTTTGAAGGTGTGTCCCTGGCGTGCTGCCTACAAACATCGCTGAAAGGCATTTGCCCGGGGCTTCAAAGCTCGGAAGATGTGTTCCTGCCAAGAGCACCCAACAGACTGTGACTATTACCAGCGCATGGAAGATCTGTCCCTGCTCAGCTAGGTGCAGATGCTGATGCTTGGCACACTGATGGGGGACTTCGGGTTTAGCTTAAGGAGTTTATGGCTTCGAGCTGGCCTAAGTTTAGGGCCCGTTTAGGGCTCCAGCATAACGTCCAATAGCTAAGCAGCAACTGCTCCGAGCCCCCTCCGAACCGCCTTTCCCCAGCTTCCCCTTTTCCCCGCCTTTTGTGAACTTCGCGGCAACCTCAGCCCATGGCTTGCGGAAGCGACGCTCCAACGCCATGTGCACGGCCGGGATGTCGGCCAGGAGGGTCTCATCCTGCACAGAAAGATCAAAGTGTCAGCTGCACCAGTTTTGTACATTTTTTGGTACCATAGACCACAAAAACTCAATGATCACAAACCCAAACAACAGTCCAAAAAGCAGGGAGACACACTTGGAATTGGAGAGCTAAGCCAGCTAAGCATCCAAGACGTCCGGCTTCCGCCCCGTCTTCTTGGTCTTTGCCATAGTTGGTTGAGTTGGGCTGTCGCGGTAGTGGGCAAAAAAGCCTCTTTCCTTGAGGCTTCCCCCGCAAAGTGATTTTCATTAACCGTGGGAATTTCAACTTCGATTCTTCAGAAACATCCACAAACTCCTCTGATTTTAGGCCCAGATGCCATGTCGAGCTGGTAGTTTTCAAACCCCTCGGGCATGAAGCTCGAGGGCCAGTGTATCCATGTTGTGTTGACCATGTCGGGTCTGCACACAAACTTTGGAAGATTACAACTGGACGGATAGCGATATGCTGTGGAGATATCAAGGTGATCCAGGTCTTTTGGATTGATCTTCCTCTCGAAGATAATACGCGGCGCGGTGATCGCGTACACAGACATGTTCTTCCGCACCAGTTCCTCCTTTGCCATTTGGTCCCAAAACGTTCTCAAGTAGTCGCCCTTCGTGTCATTCTGGCCCAACCTGAAATACTCATCTGCATCCACCGTGGGCATCAGCCAGCGTGTGTGGCCTTTGGCACGGTAAAGACAATCGTTCGCCATCCAGGGCTGGGTTTGATAACCCGTAGAGAGTTTTGCGGACACATTGAAGTGGACCCTTGTTGCTAGGCCCGCCTTGATGTAAGGCTCGTACAAGTCCAACACTGACACATCGGTACCATGCTGTGTGTAGACAAGGAAGTGGTCCACGCCGTGCAGCAGCTGGAACTCCATCCACGGAGGCACAAGCTTGAGGGTGGGCTCAACTCCATTCCAAACATTGTTGATGCAGGCGGTGGTGCCGTAGCGTCTCAGGAGACCCGGCTTGTAAGCTGCGTGAACAGTCCCAATCTTCTGCCCATGAGCACTGTCCAGAAGGATGTCGTACGCCCCCTTTTTTGCTTCTGCTTGCGGCCAAGGGCAATGCAGAGCGAGCGTCCACGGAGGTTTTCGGTCGGGTACGAACATCTGAGCTGGCACCCGGTTCTTTCCTTCCTGGTCTGAGCAGTGAATGCCAGCCTTCTTGATCGCTTCCAATCCTCCGTTCTTGAGTCGCTTCGCATCGAAGAGAAGCGCCATGAAGAAGTTACCTTCTTGAAAGGAGGGCACAGCACTCGTCAGGACAATCTCGTGCCCGCTGGGCAGAACGAGCGTCTGTGGAGTTACCATGGCAAGGTCCCGCTTCGTAGTGCGTGAGGCCCACATGTCCTGGTCCTGGTTACCGAACTTCAATTGAATCGCTGTCATGTCCTTCGGTTGTGGGCTTGAAGCCGGGACTGATTAAGAATTCTGCGCGTTCAGATCCTATCTGAAACTAAATCATCTTGAAATATCTTGAAATACCCATGTCCTCAGCATCGGATGTGCCACAGCTAGGCTGCGCAGTAGACGACTTAGCCGTTGCCAGCAGGACGCCAACTAAAGCCGCAGCAGCAATCATGGCTCCAGCACACGGTGCACTTTGTTGTCGGTGAAACAGGTGGATACACTGATGCACGAAACGCTGATCCAAGAGAAGCCGAACTTAAGGCGCTTGACTCGCTCCAACTGCCCCGTAAAAGCTGGAAAACCCCTGAAGTTTTTTGAAGGAGCTCAGACGGCTTTTCAGCGCATGTAGGGTGCTTTTTCTAGGGTGGTGTTCCCCGAAACGTTGATTCCCATCCCGGCACGCGACCCTCGCCTTTTCTCTAGTGAGGTCCCATGACAAAGCCTTGCACCGCTTCTGGGAAGGCTAAGCTAAAAGCATTGCTCAGACTACATCCCCGTGGCGCTTAAGAGATGTCAAAGTCCGAAGTCATCCCTGCCAGGTGCAACTCAAGATCGACAAAGGATCTGCACAGTTTCGGCTGTCCTCATCAGGTCTAACCTTGCCATACCGTTGGTGAAGGCGCAAGCTAGGGTTTACGACTCATGGGGGTCGTGGCGTTCACCATGGCCTCGGGGTGCTGCACACAGCCTTTCGCCCACAGCTCTTTTCCTTGGGACCCGAGACCCATATGGAGATGTGGACCCTAGACGGCTTCACTTCGGCTAAGCTCTAGATATCTCTAGATGATGATCTTGGAGACCCGACTACGGGGAGAAGGGCAAGCGACAAGGGCTCGGAACATGGCATTTCGGCCGTGGGAAGCCACGGCTTCGAGCACCTCAAGCCCCAAGTCTGATGCCTTCGGGCAGCACTATGTCAGATCAGCGCACTCAAAACATCAGGCCCGAGAAACCTTGATAGGCAAGAACAAGATGTGTCAATGCTGCATTCTTGGCAGTTGCGCGTGAGGTGCGGTTGGTCATGGGCGGTGCCATCATGTCAGCCTTGATGAGGCACACAACTTTTTGTTTCACAGCAGCTCACGAAAGGTCTTCACATGCATTTGCAAGTTTTTCTGCCTTGCCCATGCCTTTGTGGCGTGGCCCTGGGCCTTTCACTCAGCCCAGCAACTGTCGTGACCCAAGAAGCCGATATGCAGACTTGGTCTTGACACGAGCATGTGGACTTCCATCCTCTGCACTTTGGGCAACATCCCAAAGAGCCCAATATCCCTTGATTAGGGAAGATTGCTTAATTTATGTAGGGATCCTTACATTATTTAAGCAATATTCCTTAACTAAGGGATATTGGGCTCTTTAGGATCTCCTAAACAAGTGGATGTCCTGAAATTCACCGACTCCATCTGCTGCTTGGCAGCTGTCGTGAACCAAAGCATCTTCGTCTGCGAGGCTGGTGCAGCATGACAGAGAGCGCGGTTGTATGACGTGTCGGCACAGCAGACGAAACTGTACAGAATTGACTTTGGGGTCCCAAAGCGTGCATTTTCTTGCTGCCAGACTGTCAGGACTGCAATAGAACTTCTCTAGCCGCTCAGAAACTCAAATCCACTAAAAAAGCATAGGCCTCACACCTCGGATTGGGATGAAGGTTGGCGTGCAGACTATGTGAGAGCTTGGACAGCAAACAAGGTTGCCTACTGAAGCTGTGCCGGTCAAGGGTCACCAGTAGGTGTCATTCAAGAGTCTTTAAGATTGAAAACAGCTTGGTCATGCAAAAACCGTCAGGAAATCGGTGCAGAAGTGGGGGGGGGGGGGGGGGCAGCTCCCAGCTTCGTCACTCTCAGCAAGCATGGTTTTTCCATGCTCGTCTTGCCCCCATGTTCTCTGAGGGCTCAAGCCCAAGTCGAACATTCCACAGAAGGCCCAAACTCTACGCTCACCCCCCCCCCCCAGCTCCTGGATCTTCAGCGGAACTTTGTCATCCCAGTCAAGGGGCCTCATGGAGACCTGCGGATGACGGCGCCATGCACCTTGGTACCGTCCGTGAAGAAGGCTTCGTAGGTGCCCTCGTGAGGGCTGTCGAAGCTGCCCCTCAAAGTGCCACGGCTGCCATACCTGTCACGCGAGCTTGGGGTGCCGTGGCGTGGCCAAAGTTTCGGGCGGATGCCGCTTTGGTTGCTTAGAAGTACCCCCGGGACGTGGGACATGGGCAAATATCACCCAATGGCAGAATTTGCTTTTCGATATGGGAAATCTCTTGCTACACGTAGGATGCCCAAAGGGCAATGGCTGGCAGGGGCTAGCAGTTTTCGCGGCCCGAGCAACAGCGGGGATGAGACTGCACCACTTGCCCTTACCGAACCGAGGACCCATGCATCTGGCGCAAAGGTGCTACCCTGTCAGCTACACAACCTTCCGACACACCAAACTTTTTTCCGTGGCGCCTGCCAGAGTGCCACGTAGCTCTGAAGGTTGCCTGAGCCAAGGTCCAAGGTTTTGGATGGTTTTGGAGGTTTCGACAAGGCGGCACGTTCAAGACGCGGGGCTTGGAAAGGGGTTCGACGAGTTCAGCGATGTTCAGTTCAAACGTCCACCCCGAGACGCCTAAGGCACTTGGGCCCTTGTTGAACTCTGCTTCGGCGTATTTCTATTGAGCTGAACCCCCCCTAGTGCTGGATAGACTTCAGGCACACCGGCTGGCACTTCGCACCGTTTCTTGGACATGCGTACCCAGACGCCTGCGACTCTTCCCGACTGTCCCCACCATATTCTAGGACATCAAGCGGCCGACAACATCAACTCCCCAAGTGCCCCCCCCCCCCCCCCCCCCTCTAAATTCAAAAACCTTTGGCGTATCCCTTCAAAGGCCACTATCGTCTGATGGATCCGCAAGAGCCCCCTATGCCTTGCCTGGTCGCGATCCACCCCGATGTCGGACCAGGTGCCATAGGAGCCTCCCTCAAACGATGCCTCCGAGCCGGTGACCGTCAGCACAAAGGAGTAGCCTTGGCTGATGTCCACGTTCCAGACGCCTGAACACGCAGTGGGAGTTTAAGAGAAGCTCCCCCAACGTACGCCCATTTCGGCTCCCTTTTCTCGGCCCTTCTTCGAGCTATTTCGCTACTTTGGGCACATGGCTCAACATGATTGACCCACCCCCCTCAGAAAACCAGTGGGATGTCGTCCCCCCCAAACAGCCGATTTTTGTTGAAGATCTTTTTGTGCTCATGTTAGTGGGGTCCGACCACAGTCAGAGCCCTCAGCCACACCTTCCAGGCTGAGATCCATCTTGATCACCTGAAGGCTCCTGGGTCCAGGCACCATTGGTCCGGACATAGGCATATCGCACGTCATATCCGGGGGTGGGATATGCCTAGTCTTGGAAGGAATGGGAAAGCATCAAAGGCGGGATGTCCTCAAAACAGTGCGTGCACCGAAGAAAGCCAATCCAAGCAACCACCCTCACTGCTCAAAAAAGCACAGTGTCTACTCTGCAAATCATCCGCGCGAACTACCCCGACCATCACCATCACGTTCAAAACGACCATCCCCCTCTCAGCCACGGGCACCCCGTCTCCAAGGTGATCTTCTCGTCGGCCTTCACCGGTTCCCCGGTGGCCATGTGGAGCACCAGCACCCTGCTGTGGTTGCAGCTGCAGGGCCTCCGCCGCTCGGAGCTGCAGCTCCCGCGCGTCATCGCCTTGAATGAGAACTGAGTCTGTGTACGAATCCAAAATCTTTGTTGTCCTGTTGTGCACATCTCATAAGATGGACAAACAAAAACACCTTCTTGGGGGGTGTTCGAACTTGGGCACCTTGAGATCAAGAAGCCTGGGCAGTACATGTGAGAATGCGGGTGAACGGGGAGGTTCCAAGAGGGTACTAGAAAAATTGCCCCATTGTGGTGGAAGAAGCTAGTTAGCTGGTACCAGATGGGGTAAGACACACACAAAACAAAACGCTTTCGGGGGTGGAAAGCCAAGAAGCCTTCGAAGAGAGGCAAAGTCAGACTGTCACCCGACAGTAGCGCCACTGCAATGTCCCCTAGGGGCACTTTCAGTGGAGTCGAAGCCTCTTCTTCCTTTTCTTCTTGCGGCATCTCAGAAAGTTGGCCCGAAGCCATGGCGCAAGCACACGCGCCGCGGCTCCACTTGGTCGGGAAACTGCCCCTGGCCGGAGATATCTGTTATGTCCTGTGCTCACAAACGGATCTGCCGGTGTGACTTTCAGGGCTAGACTTGTCGGTCTTGGTACTTAAGCATGCTGCCAAAAGCAGTCCATGTTGGATGTGCTGCCACATCTTGCTACCATGAATTCAAAACCACTTCTGTCATGTTCGGGATGGAGTGAAGTTGTTAGATTCGCGAAAGTGCAGGTTTCGACACTTCGCTTCGGAACTATGGGCTGGAGAGTGCGCGTTGATTTCCACTGCACGATGGAACGTCGCTTCGGGCAATCTTTGTGCGACCCAATCTTGTCTGGCCTTGGCAGACCAAAACGTATGGCACCTGGACCTCGCGACCTCGCACGTGTCTGGACCTTGTGCCCTCATCTGAGGCTTCGACAAGTGTCATTTTGTCACATTGGAACAAAAGAGGTCACAAACCAGTGGGGATGACAACAAACAGAAAGGTCCATGAGTTCAATACGAAAAGCTCTCTGCAAGTCTTGTGTGTGAGTGTGACACAGCAACGCAAAACAAATGTAACCCATGCATTTGGTACAGGAAATCAATTTCTGAAGCGTTTTTATGAGATGTTGAATGGAGCGAAGCGAGTACAAATGAGCGCAATATTTTTCAGCAGAAAGCTAGTAGTTGGACTGTGAACATAGGAATTGTACAGAAAGACCAAAGTTGACTGTGTGTTCGCTCGCTTCTCTCATGCCGCCCTGACCCCGTACTACCATGGCTACACTGTCTCCTGTCTCGCACGCAAGACAGGTCAGGCAAAGCACGTCAAAGCCACAAGGGACTTCAATGTCTAAGCTGCCAGACGAGATGATTGATGCATTGCGGGGAATCAAACAGAGCGACTGAACTTTGCTGAGGCAACAGAGGGCCGGTCTTTTCAAAACAGCTGCAGATTGGCCGAGGGTCGGGGCTCAGAGTTGTGTTTTGGGGCCTCAAAAGAGATGATTTTCCTAAAGATGCCTCTAAAACCCTGCTGCTGGTCTTTCAATGGCTTTAACGGCTCCATGACATGTAACTTGTTCGCATGCAAGCGAAGAGCATGCAAGGTTGGCAGGTTGGCAGCTTGGCCCCCTGTTAGGGCCGAAGGAACACAGTTCCGCATGAGCAGGGGGGGCCTGGCAGTCAACCAGGGCGACTAGAGGCAGACTTGTACTGTCCTGTCGCATCGTCTGAATTACGGTGGAACCTACAGCAACAGAAGGAGTCTAAGTCCGTCTGAGGATCATGACGTTGGCTTTCAACCAGGGTTTTGTCGAAGAGTCTCGCAACATTTCTGAAACTGGGGCGTCGTACTTGTAGCCGAGTTCTTCAAAGAGCTGGAGGAGATACTCCTTGCTGTGACAGTTCACGTGGCCGTGACCGCGTTGCTTCAGATGTGCCCACGACAGAATCAGCCCCTTGCGATTGTGAGCGTGAAGGTTGGCAACGACCTGCTTCTCGACTTCATGCGAAATGTGCTCACCGACCTCAAGAGAGATGACCCAATCCTCCGTTTGCCGCCCCAGGGTAATAAACAACTTCAACCTCCCTCTTCCAATCAAAAACGCTTCACAACATGAGAACTAGAGTTTTGAACAAAAGTCCGGGCTGATCTGCCAAGAAACCGACACGGCCATATCCATAGGGTAAGAAAGATCGGCGAAGTGCACGAAACCCTGGGTGAACTCTTGCGCATTTCCGGCTCCATCATATCCACGATACTGTAGATTGGGCAGCAGGGCACGAAGCATGTGTCCGGCCTGCCCCACACCAGCGCCACAATCCGTGACCGAGTCCCCATCTTTCAACACCAGATTGGCCAGGCCGGTGGCCAAACCCTTGTCGAATTCAACATGGAAGAGTGGCAGGAGCCAGTCGGCATCAGAGTAGTCTCCCTTTTGCATCTGCTTGGAATCCTCGGCGACATAGCACCATCCGCCAGACTTCAAGATGCCTTTGCGCTCCTTCCAGGGCTTCGGAAAGCAACATGAGGCCCCCCATGCCCATGCCCATGCCCCCATGAGCTCAACTGCAACATGAAATGAGGAAGGGAGTGCACGCCCATGCGAATGTACGCGTGAACCAAAAACTGGACATGCTGTCTGCGATCTCAAGCAATGTATAGTGCATTGACTAGTATTCCCTGTCCTTGCTGTTGCACGCTGCCAGGGCCTGATTGTGAAGCTCCTTCAACGTGGCAACAGAGGTCTTAGCGTTGGAGATCAAAGCGATGTCGGACTTCCCGTAGTCTTTTGGGCAGTCTTGCTCCCAGCCACAGCGGCGCGGGCCACCAAAATCCTCCAAAACCTCCAACCTCAGGGGAGTCCAGGTCACGGATTTGCCGCCCTCCACCAAACTGGTCGGGCAAGGGCAATCCTCAGACTCGGAATCATCCTCCTCCTCGAGCTGTAGGATGGACTCAGAAGAGCCTCCGAACGCCGCATATGCCAACTCAGAACGAATGCCCTGAACACAAGACCTTCAATGATGCCAAACACCCTTGCTTTCGAACTGCCCCCCGCACTATATACCCCGCCCCCCGCCTTTCTCGAGCTTTGCAGCAACCTGCCTCCACCGATGAGAGAAGCGGCGATCCAAAGCCACGTTGACGGCCTTGACGTCCGCCAGGAGGGTCTTATCCTGTTACAAGTTTTCGCGTTCCCAACACCCGAAGTAGAAACCTCATGCAAGCCCTACAGCAAAAGTCCCGAGTTACGACTGCACAGGACACATATACAAGGCAAAAGAGATGCCGAAGAGGAATCGGAGAGCCAAACTTAAGCTAAGCATCCACGACGTCCGGCTTCCTCCCGTTCGCTTCTTTGATGAAGGTAGCTCTGGTCGATGAGTTGCGGTAGTGCGCAAAGAACCCTCGTTCCTTGTAGGATTTCTGGTTCATGCGTTTCCCCCGGTACAAACAACACTTTCATCGGCTTGTTCAGCTAGGAACTGCAACCTCATCTGATTCCTTTACCAGATGTTACCAGTAGACTGATGAAGAAGGAAAACCCTTGAAAAAAAAATTCCGCTCAAAGGCCGAAATGCTATATCGAGGTGCACCGAAACAGCTTTTCCCACATAGCTCGTGGGCCAGTGTATGTCGATTACATTGACCAAGTCGGGCTTGACCACGTACTTTGGGCAGCCCATTGGAAACGAATAGCGATGAACTACGGAAATATCGGGTCGCTTGTTCTCCCTCTCGAAGTTGACCCGCTTTATGAGAATGGTACTCACGGTCTCATTCTTCAGCTCCGATTGCTCTTGCGCAAGCTGGTCCCAGAATGTTCTTAAGTAGTCGCCCCTGGTGTTGTCATTTCGCAACCTGAAATACTCATCTGCATCCACCGTGGGCATCAGCCAGCGTGTGTGGCCTTTGGCACGGTAAAGACAATCGTTCGCCATCCAGGACTGGGTCACAAAACCATTCGCGTATCTCGGGTCCGTATTCAGGTGGACCCTTGTTGCCAAGCCCGCTTTGATGTAAGGCTCATACAAGTCCAGCACTGTCACGTCTGTGCCGTTCTGCGTGTATACGATGAAATGATCCACGCCGTGCAGCAAGTGGAACTCCATCCACTCAGGCACCAGCCTGAGGGTGTGAACCTGTCCGTTATAAACGTTGTTGATGCAGGCAATAGTGCCATACTGCTTTAGCAGGGGTTGGTAGGATGCTTGAACATCGGCAATTTTCTGGCCCCCATCATCCAGGCGGATGTCATATGTTCCCTTCGCAGCCTCTGCTTGCGGCCACGGGCAGTGCAAAGTGACTAAGTCTTTGTCTCGATGGCCGAACATCTGGGTTGGCACCCGGTGCCGTCCTTGCTGGTCTGAACAGTGAATCCTGGCACTTTTCATTGCCTCGAATGATTGCCTCCAGAAGAAAAGCGCCATGAAGAAGCCTCCTTGTCCAACAAAGGGCACGACCCCTTGCAGCAGAACCTTCCGCCCGCTGCCCAGCGTGAGCTCTTGCAGCCGAGGTTGCCCCGGCAAAATCTCAGCTCTCTCAGCGAGGCTCTCAGCGCTCTTACCGAGGGACTCGCTGCCGAGGTCTTCGCGTTGGTCGCTTTGGTTGCTTTGGTCGCGTCCCCGAGTCTGAAGCACAGCCATGTCCTCGGTCAATGGCATGACATTTGTGAAACTACCTTTTTTATAAACCCTAAACTTTATAAACGCTACACATCTTCATGGGGAGCCCATGGGGGCCACGATGTGCTTTCGATGCTTCGGAAACTTTCCCCCCCCTGGCTGTGGTTTTGAAATGCGATATATCCGAGGAGGACACGTCTTGTGCTGGTCCTTGTGCTCAGCACCAAACCAGCCCAGGGAAAACCACGTGTGTTTTTGTAATGTACCCAGAAGATACTCGTGAAAATTTTATCTCAGCAATCCCAGGAACCTGTGCCACGAAAACCTTTTGAGACTTTTTCGAACTTCCATTTTGTTCCGAGCGTTTGCTTTCGTCAACCTTGAATATGGAGTGGACCGCGGGCCCAGTGGGGAGGGGGGCTTTCGCCTGCCCTGTGAGCCTAAGAGCGGTTCAATGGCGCAGTACAGCGTGCATGTGTTGTGCGCATGTGTGCTACCAGCTTAAACTCTCTCATCTTGAACTTGGCTTCCCGCCTCGGCGACCTCGGTAACATATGATGTCCCACAGCTTGACTGCGCCATCGCTGTCGCCAGCAGGACAACTACAAGGAAAGCACGGCGCATGGCCCACATTGCAGTTCACTAAGCGAGAACCAAAGCTCGACAGCTTCGAGCACAGCCTCAGCGCATAAAACGCAATGAAGTTGGGGCATTCTGTCCAACACAAACATTCGACGGAACAAGAGGTCTCAACTTCCAAACTTTCCAACATTTTCTAGCCTGCGACAACCCCATACTGCTCCCACTCTCGCGCAAAAACTTACAAACGCAAAAAACTGACAGAGTTAAACCCCAAAAACAAACACGACATGACTTGCCGGATGAAGGTACAATCATGTCGCCCAAAATAACATTCTTCATTCCGAAGAATAAACAGAGAGAAAATATTCCATCAGCATATTCATGTATCTGACGACCGCACGCTGATTCTTTTCCAGCTAGCGAGCACATGGTTTCAAAGGTTGTGTAAACGGGAGGGCCCCTCGTCCACTGAAGATGCATGTCGCACCCTCACCGTAGACGAACCCCCAAGGATGGGTGGGCGGGTTCCAAAAATTTCTTCTTGTCACCACTAGCGCCCGAGCCCACTCGATACAAGAACGGGATCATGCGCATGCCCATCAAACTTCACTCCAAAACTTCAAGCAAACACCCCTCTTTGTTAAAAACGTGAGTCCCAGAAATGCCTGTAGCCGGGTTCCCGCATAAGTCTACAAATCACCGGTAACCCCACTCTTATAAAGCTTGACGCATTCATGGGATGCGCGCGCGCATCCCTCACATGTGCTTTCTCATTGAAAGCACGGAAAACAAGAGGGGAATATCGCTTTCGTAAAACAACGACCAACGAAAGCCAAATCTGTTTTTAAGGTTTTAACTCACTCTGATGGACGGGTCCACCCCGCTTGGACTTTCAAAGCACATGCAAGATCCCTGAGGTTCTAAGATCAGACTTTCCTCAACAGCAATACCCAAAATACCTCGGCAGGTCGGGCCGATGTATTTGCCGCAAGGAGTGCTCGAAAGGTGTCGTTATCGGTGCACTGCAGGGCAAGTCATACACAACGACATGCAGCAAACCCCCGTTGCAGTATCTGAAATGTTCGCAGCAGCACACTAGTCCGTTACGAATGCCCAATGTTAGGGGAATGCGAAGAAAGCGGCGCGCGGACACTCTTTCACATTGGCGGGAAGCAGATCCAGATCAGCTGAAACCGAGAGCACCGGAGGTGCCGGCAGAAATGAAATGCTGGACCGGAGTACGCCGGTTCTAGCATGAGCAAAGGCAGGCTACCTAAGCGTGTCCTAGAGGCAAGGCGTGGAGCCATCACTTAAGAGACGGATTCTGAACCGATGCTTTGATCGGCTAGAAACCGCCACAGAAGCAGGCCACAGCAAGCACAGGACTGCGGCAAGGAAGACAGAAAGGACGGTCAGATAGGAGACGGCGGTGGGAGCTTCAAAATCGAACGGACAGGCAGTATGCACTTAACCTCGGAGCCAGAGCTGCCACGCGGGCGGATGCGTTAAGTGCATACTTGCCATTGCGTGTTAGCTGCAAACATACGTGTACAAGTACATCCACGTTCACAGCAGCACACTAGTCCGTTACGAATGCCCAATGTTAGGGGAATGCGAAGAAAGCGGCGCGCGGACACTTTTTCACATTGGCGGGAAGATTCAGATCAGCTGAAACCGAGAGCACCGGAGGTGCCGGCAGAAATGAAATGCTGGACCGGAGTACGCCAAAGTCTTCAAGCGGACGCTTGACCCGACAGGGTAACGGAGGCCAGCACACGCCAGGTATCTTGACATGTCAAGCTCAAGCGGGTATGTATACGTTCGCAGTGTGTCAGGAAGAGCCGTCCAGGGGACGAAACCAAGCTGATCAGAAGAAAAACCAATCAAGGTGGGCTAGCCATGAGAGGGACGGAAGACTTTTCAAGTAATGAAAGGATGTCGTCGACATACATCAGGGCTGAGTGAGAAAGCCACCAGAACTTGTGAGTTAAACATCACGAAGATGACGGAGACCGGCTCCGGGTCTTTGCAAATCTTCATCTGCTTGCATTGGTGGCGTTGCGGAGTGGCCTCATTGTTCTGGAAAACCCAGCATCCAGCCTCCTCTGGTTGGATTCGCAGGTCATGTCTTGGGTGCGTGCGCATGCCCCGTTTGGAGCTCGGTTGCTGCCTGCCAACAGGCCTAGACTTTATAAATCCTGGCTTTTCTGGTGCAACCGCTAGCTTTGTAAAAGTTTGGTAGCTTCTCGAACGTCTCACAAGCTCCACAGAGCTCCAAACTTCCTCACGTCTCTTCAAGCTTCTCTGAGCAAAAAGTAGCAGCTTCTCTGAGCAAAGAGTAGCAGCTCTACACTCCCTTCAAGCTTCTCTGAGCAAAGAGTAGCAGCTCCACACTCTCTTCCGGCTTCTCTGAGCAAAGAGTAGCAGCTCCACACTCTCTTCAGGCTTCTCTGAGCAAAGAGTAGCAGCTCCACACTCTCTTCAGGCTTCTCTGAGCAAAGAGTAGCTCCACACTCTCTTCAGGCTTCTTTGAGCAAAAAGTAGCAGCTCCACACTTTCTTCAGGCTTCTTTGAGCAAAGAGTAGCAGCTCCACACTCTTCAAGCTTCGCTTCTCTGAGCAAAGAGTAGCAACTCTCCACTCTCTCTTCAGGGTCTTTGAGCAAAGAGTGGCACCACACTCTCTTCTTTGCTTCAGCTGCTGTTCAAGCTTGTTGAGTGAAACGTTGGCTGCCAGCAAGACAACCCGTCCAAACTACTTCTCGAGCCTATTCAACAACGTCAAGCACTTACAAATCTTCTACGTGCGACGTGAAGCTTCTGACTCAAGCCTCATGCTTGCTAAAACAAGCATTTCCTCACAAAAGCAAAAACTCTGGCCATGCATACAAAACAAATTAAAGGAAAGCTCTGCTACTGCACTGCAAACCAAACACCAAGCATTCGCTCCCGAAACTCTTCAAACACTTTGGTAACGTTTGGAAAGGTGCTGATAGCCACTATATGGGCATCAACTTTTTCTTCAGCAAGCGCAGAGCGTTACCCAGTGGGCGTCCTTCATGCAAAACGAATTCGCCCGGAGCCCCTTTGGGGCGAGACATTGTCTCTCGGGCAGTCGGTCACCCTGCTACGGCAAAACCACAGCTCAAAAGCCGGGAAGTGGTGCACCCACAGGCCATCTACAGGGAACTATGTTACAAGCAGACTCAGCAGGGAAGGAGCTGCAGCCTCAGCCCAAAGGCCGGGAAACTGGATGCCCCCAGTGAAGCAGCTCTGGTTTCCGCAGCCTCCTCGGCCGGGGTGGTGCACAACCAGCGAACTTCTTCCCCCAAGGGTCCCAGGGTGTTGCAGATCTGGTCAAAACACGCCTGGGGTGACCCCTGGAAACTTGCCGAAAGTAGCCCGCATCATGGGGCAATATTTGGCAACTACTCTCCAAAAGCCCGTCCATTCCGCCTTCCTTGGGAGGGGTCCCAGTTGTTGGCATCGATAAAGGGAACCTCGAGCCTTGCGGCCTGTGGCTCAGGTTTGAAATGCCAACATCCTTGGCATCTACCCCACAGGCACACAAATGCAACAAGGTGGCCAACGTGGCCAGAAGGTAGGAGTGCACACGGAGCTCTTGCACGTGGTACAGAAAACAATGCAGGCCCGCACCGGCACACCTTCGGCTTCTACTCCAATCCACATGGAGCCACTGGTGAGAACAGGAGCAAGAAGCCGGGAAAAGCGCCGTGCCATGTCAATCTCTGGACCATTTAGGGAATTATCGTGCGTGAGTTTCAAAACCAACGCCTAAGACAGTTGGTAGCTTTGACTCCAGGCGTGGGAGAACCCGGGCTTCCACAACAACCTACCGGACCGGGTCCCACATAAGTGTAATTTTTTTTTTTGGACTGACGCCTCTTTACTACATCAGTAGCACAGTAGGCCGGTCTTGTTGGGCTCGACGTAAAGGGTGAAACAAAGTCAGCGCACACAATCCGCCAGACACAACAAGCAACCACCAAGCAAACAAACACCAAAGAAACAAAGCGAGCAATCGCGCTGAACTACTAGATACCCCACGGACTCAGTACTCGAGGTCGTCAATGAAGTCCCGGTTCACAAGGAAGCACAGAGCTTGTGGGGGAATCGCAAATTGCGACATTGCCAGATTCTCAAAACCACCATCATGTAGCCACTGGTGCGACAGCGGTTATTCAAACCGAGGTCATCAGAAGAGGTTCGGATCACGTACTCGTTGTCAAGGACAGACAACCGACACTCAATGGCGAAAGGATGTTGCAAGTCAGACTCCCTAGGGGGGATGAAAGATGTGCATATGCCCCATGGTGGTCAGCCAGTGGGGACTTAACAGCAAGAACAATCAAGGCAAGACCGGCCCAGGGCACTCCATGGTGGTCAGCCAGTGGAGTAGCTCCGAGTTTTGGGTGCTCCATTCACCTTGGCGTACAAGTGCCCACCCAGAGAGGTGTCCGCGCCCGGCACAGGGGGCATATGCCCCATGGAGGTCAGCCAGTGGGGACTTAACAGCAAGAACAATCAAAGCAGGACCGGCCCAGGGCACTCCATGGTGGTCAGCCAGTGGAGTAGCTCCGAGCACAGGGTTCTCCAGTCAACCTGGCGTACAAGTGCCCACCCAGAGAGGTGCCCGCGCACGGCCAGAGGGGGGGCGAGAGTAGCTGCAGCTACCGATTCCACGGGGAGAGTCCACAGCGAGTTACCAAACCCTTAACGCCACAGGGTTTATAATGACAACGAGGAACCTGCGCATCGGCACGCATCAGGTCCCTCCAAACCCAAACCCGCGAGGTACGTCGGTAAGGAGATGGGAGGGCTCACATCACATTGGTGCCGAAGTGCAAGGATCTCCATGGTATTGCTACTTTGGTCCAATCAGAGCCTTCAGGTAACATCCACGCGGGCGGGGAGCCCACTTGCCCTGCCGCAGGCCAAGCTCAGACGAGGGTGACCCTCTAGAGTCTCAAGAGGGCCAGGTTGTGCTACAAGTGGGGAATGGCTCCCTGCCAAGTCAGCGGGTGCATAATCT